AATCCAATCTGCCATAATGAAGACTCCCCAGAGCAGCCCTGAACTGGCCCAATGAGGGCAGAGGAGTTGTTCCTGTAGATGCTTGCTCTGGTTACAGGCCAAGAAAACTTCCCTCCCGCAGGCTTCAATAGCATTCCAGCAATCAACAAGCATTGATAAAGCACCTACTGTGTGCTCAGCACTAGGCTAAGTGCTGGGGATATAAAAACAAAAGTGAATCAGTCCTATCTTTGAAGAGTTTACATTCTAATGGAGGAGATAGATGGACAGACAGATAGACAGATAACAGATATTTATTATATAGAGATATAGGTACAAAGATAGAGATAGTGTAGATATAGATGAGATGGCGATTGATATAGATGTGGATATGAATATGGATATAAATGATATAGAGATGTAAAGATATAGATGGATATGGATATGGATGATATAGATATAGCAGAAAGAGCCCTGACTCTCCAGTCAGAGAACCTGGGTTCAAATCCTGCCTCTGATGCTACCAGTGTGACCCTAAGTAAGTACTTTAACCTCTCTCATCCTCAGTTTCCTCATCTACAAAATGGACTATTATGCCAAGATTAGCCCCTTCTGCTCAGGCTTGTTGTGAGACTCAATGAGATAAGAAACGTAAGGCTATTTGCAAACCCTAAAGTGCTAGATAAACACTTGCTAGATAAACACAATGTGCTCAGTATATTTGACCTTCACAATAATCCTGGGAGGTAGATGCTGTTACAGATTGGGGCACTAAGGTCAAGGGAGGTTAAAGGACTTACCCAGGGTCACACAAAGGGTTAGGGAGTAGGGAGGACTTGACTCCACATCTGGGGCTTTCTCCACTCTCCTCTAAATGTTGGATCAATTGAACCTGATTCTTCAATACCCAAGGGTGTGAGATGTCATGGATGTGGGTGCAGATCACAGATCACAACCTGTTAGTAGTTTCAGAGAATTTCAGAGAATCTAAATTTCTGAGGCAGAACCTCTGCTTTTCAATTAAAAATATTTACAAATTAACCTGGATGGTGGTGAGGACAAGATTGGAAAATGTGCTGGAGGACAATAGATTGAAGGAACTAAAGACATATAACCTGAAGATGCAGAGACATAGATGGGTGTTTCGTGGACAATGAATCAGAACTGCTGCCTGTCCCCACAGGGCAGAACCAGGAGCCGTGGGATGGGAGAGACAGAAGCCCATTTTAGTTCAACAGAGGGGAAAGTGACCAAGAATGGAAGGGCTGAGTCAAGCGAAGCCTAGGTGGCCATTTGTCAGGGACATGGCAGATTGTACCTGGACAGGTCCTGGCTGAACTAATCAGTCTTGGAGTGCCCTCAGTTCTGAGGGTCTGGGTTCTGGGTTCTTGTAGCCATTGGAAAGTTGGACTTGGGGAGCTTTATTGTCCCCTTCAAGGCTAAGGTTCTACTGTTCTAGCACCATTGCTCTACGTCCCAGGCTGATAGCCTCTTCCCTTGGCCCCATGGCCTTCTGGCAATAGGATTCTTTGTAAAACTCCCCAAACAACCCAGTCGTCTCCTCCAAGGCTTCCTATCATTATTCTGTCTGGGCCTTGTTGGTCTTGACCACAGGCCCTAATTATATTATCTTCAAACAGCAAGTAAATGATATTTCCCGCTGAACCTGAACAAGGAAATGTTTGATTTGACATACTTAGGCATTCCAAAATCAAACTGTTTGTGTGCCAGGATATTGAGATTAGCTTTGTCATTGGAGTCCTCCTTGGTGCCCAGCTTCCAAAATGCATGCTTTCATGTTGTCTCGTGATTAGTGAAGGCAAGCCGGAATTCCCAGATGTGCGTCTGCCCCTGGCTCTGGGTAGAGTGTCCCAGGTGGAACACCTCGTCTCACTGTGCCTCAGATACTGCCGATTTATGGAAAACAGCCACCAGCTGCCCATGGCAAAAGAAGCCGGAGGACAAGGGGTTAGGGGTCAGGCATCATCTCTCACATAATCCTAACCAAAGAATCTTTAATTTAGGATTGGAGGGGATCCTTGAGGACTTCTAGCCCAACTCTCTTATCTTACACATGAGAAACGAAAGCCCAGGGATGTGCCAAACCCTAAGGAGAAATGAACTGGGTTTGAAATGGGGTGCTTGGAATTCAAATCCAGCATTCATCTTCTGCCTTGGAGAAAAGGCATCTTAACCCAAACATGGACTCTGTAATATGGATATATCAAGGGATCTGTAATATGTAATATCAAAGGATCATGATGGTTCATGAGGGAATTCCTGGTGTGGGAACTGCCTCCCTCACTACATGTTGGTCGTCTCTGACTGGAAACCCATATTAAATGCCTGCCCCAGGGTCACAGACCTAGTAAGAGAGAGAGGCAGGGTGTAAAAGCAGGTCTTCCAGATTCAAGCCCAGGCTCCATCCACTCCACCAAGCTCCCTCTTCACATAATACATAGATTTTTGACAGTGAGGGCCTCCAAATGTTGGATAGATGCCCACTTTGTGCACAGAACTGCGTTGGTTGCTAGGAGAGCCACAACATGAATGAAGCATTGTCCTTGCCCTCAAAGGGCTTATAATCTAGGGAAGAATTTACTTTTTCCAAAAAATCAATTTCTTCCATCATATCCCTCCCCCCAATCCATCATTATACATCAAAAGCAAACCTTGCCTTCTCTCCCAAATGACTCTGTGGGGAACACCCAAAGTGCCAGTGGCCTTCCTCTGGATTTGAGTGGATAACTGCAGTAGAAGGTGCAAGGCAGTATGGTGTGGCAGGTAGGGAACTGACTAGAGAGTCAGGAAAATCTGGGTTCAAGTCCAGCTGCTCATATACATTTGCTCTGGCAAATTGGGCAGCCTCTTGGTGCCCCCAGAACACTGTCTAGGACAGTGCTGAGTCAGTGCTAGCCTTCACTGGTGGACCAAACGTTCCCTTCACCAATGAAATAACAGCTGTTGGAGCTGTGGGAACAGACTGCTCCAGGCATGGAGAAAGGCAAGGACAAAGGCCTAGAGGTGGGAAAAGACAGGGCAAGGTCAGAGAGGTCATCTACTCTGGCCAGAAGTTGAAAAATCAAGCCCCACAAGCCAGTCCCAGAGATAATAAGAGAAGCCTGAATAGACTCTAACTCATTTATTCACCCCAGTATTTATGATCAAACACAGCCAGCCTCTTGAGCCCCACAGCCATGTGCCAGACCTTCAATGAAGTAATCACAAAAACCCACACTTGAAGACGAGCCAAGCACTTGATTTGCAGAACTACCCTATTGTCCCCATTTTACAGAGGAGGAAATGGAGGCTAAGAGTTGAGTGACTTGACCCTTACCCTAAACAGTCCAGAAATCTGAAGCGTGAGGATTCACTGTCTTGTCAAAATATGCAGCTCTTGGCTTTTGAAAGTAGAGTGAGGATTAGGATAACAAGAGAACAGTCCTGCGTCTCCTCTCCTGAATCCGCCACCTGTGAGTGTACTCCCCCCATTCTCCTGAAATTTTTTTGTGCATATTTGTCTTGATCTGTGAACATGCTGGATTCTCCCAGTAGAATGGAAGCCCCTTGAGGGCAGGGACTGTTTTGTTCCTCTCTTTTTATTCCCAGTACATGATTTAAACATAGGAACAGAAACAAGGACCAGACCTGTGATTCCCATGTGAGAAAATTCCTTCTACCAATGCAAGTTGGCACCTTCTCTGAAACTTATAGATTCAAGATGCCTAGGGTTAGATATGTAGAACTGAGAAGCATCTTTATGGAGACGATATTTAAATCCAAGAGAGGTAGCAGAGAGAGAAGACAGCCTAGGACAGACAGAGCCTTGAGGAGATACTTACTGTTTGGGGTATGGTGTGGGTGACAAAATTAAAAGGAGACCATGAAGGGGTGGTTGAAAAGTTCTAAGAATCAACTGGTGTGTCATGGTCAGTCACCTGTGTAATTGTCAAGAAGATGAAGGCAGAGAAGAGACCATGGGAGGTGCTGATTAGGAAATCCAGTGTGTTCACTACTTCTCCCAGCTCCGTGCCATCTGCAAATTTGATAAGCATTCCATCCACGCCCTTATCTAAGCAAGTCATGGACAGAAGTGAAAAACGGCCCCAGACCAAGCACAGACCGCTGGGGCGCTCCACGGGGCGCTTCCTTCTGAGTGGATGTTAAACCATTGGTGATTGCTTTTTGAGTCTGGCCAACTAACCCTAAGTTCATCTCAGTGTGCCACCGACCATCTGGCCAGCCATGTCTCCATCTGTGCCAAAAATAATATCATGAATTGCTTTGTCGAACCCATATAGCCCTTGTCTGGCCACCTCACTCTAGCCCTTATTGTCTGCAACTGGAAACAACTGGACTGAACTACCTTGACAGCCCCTCCAGCTCTGAATCTGGGGAACAGAGAGAGGACAGGCACTAGGTCTGAGGTTTAATCGGCATAAGGAATGCCCGTGGAAGGAAACTTCTACCAAGGCCTTGGTCACTCCTCTGAAACTTTGAGGCTCCCGGGTGCCTGGTTCCCTGAGATGTCGAATGACGTGCAGAGGGTCCTGCAGACACAGCGCATGTAAGAAGCAAAACTTAGTGCAGGTTTTTCTGGTTTTGAGGCTAGCTCTCTAGCTACTCTGACACACATTGTGTACCTTGCACATAGCAGGCACTTAAAAGGGGTATACTGGCACCAGATCCTGTCTTCTCAGGAGAGACAATTGCTAAGTCTTCAGGGTGAGTTCACACCTTGGAAACTAGCAAGTGCTACAGATCAAGGCCCAATGGATTGTTTTGTTCATTCTCTAGATTTAAGAAACTGAGGGAGAAAATGTTAATGATGCGTGTTAATAACGAAAAGTGTGTCCTGAATACTTTTTTTTTCGAGAGACCTGGCTGTTAAACATTTACAACCCTGACCTCCCTCAGCCACTACCCCTCCACACCCCGCCCCTGACAATGCCTCCTCTCTGCTAGGAATGTCCCCTGCTCCTCTCGTTAATGTCCCTGTTTGTTTCTCTGATGCTTCCCAGACCCTGAAGATGCACTGCAAGGACTGTGCCCTGGTGACAAGCTCGGGGCACCTTCTGGGGAGCCGCCAGGGACAGCGCATCGACCAGGCGGAGTGTGTGATCCGCATGAACGACGCGCCCACCCGTGGCTACGGCCGGGACGTGGGCAACAGAACGAGCCTCCGAGTCATCGCCCATTCCAGCATCCAGAGGATCCTCCACAAGCGGGAGGAGCTCCTGAACACGAGCCAGGGGACGGTGTTCATCTTCTGGGGGCCCAGCAGTTACATGCGGAGGGATGGCAAAGGGCTGGTCTACAACAACCTGCAGCTCATGAACCAGGTCCTCCCGCGCTTAAAAGTCTTCATGATCACGCGGCACAAGATGCTGCACTTTGACGAGCTTTTCAAACAGGAAACTGGGAAGGACAGGTAAGGGGGCTTACGGGCGGGAGGGTCTCTGGGCAGGCGCGCCGCCGGCTCTACGTGTCGACTGCCGCTTGGCGGTCCAACGGGCAGGCTCCTGCCAGCCCTGACATTCTGCGGTTCTGTGACGGGGAGATCTGTTAGGTACCTCCCGGCTAGGGAAGAGACTGGGCAATTACGTTAGAGGAACTGTGTTTTAAGAAGAAAAGCCCTGTGCCTGTTTGGAAAGCTTTTTGTGAGAAAGAATCATGGGATCACAGCAAGTCAGAGCTGGAAGGGCCTTTAGAAATCCTCTGCAGTGGAAGATTCAGGGATGGAAGTGACCTTAGGGAGCACTGAGCTGAACTCCCTGCCCCACCCCCAACTCACATACATCCTTTACAGAGACAGTCAAGGGACTGTGTGAGGTGACAGGTCTTCCGGAGCCTCTGAAGAGTGTCACGTGACTTGCGTGATGGCTACAGCTAATTAGCAGCAGATCTGCCACTAGAACCAATCAGTCAATCAACAAACATTTAATAAGCACCTCGTGCTATGAACACCATGTGCTGGGACCACAGAAGCCAGACCTAAACTGTCCCTGGCCATTATCCCATTAAGCCAGCTTGGAGCCCCGCCAAACAAAGCCATGAACCCTGCTTGGGAGATTGACCCCTCCACTATTTAGGAGGCCAGTGCTTAAATGTGCTAAACACATGCTGGAGAAGGAATCAAATCCCAGCGTCACCACTAACTTCCTATACTCCCATGGGCAGATCATTCTGACCTCTCTGGGTCCTTATCTGTAAAATGAAGGGTCAGAGGAGAAGATGCTGAAGGCCCTTTTCTTCTCTAAAAGTATGGCCTCACAAACATCCGAGCTACCAGCTGGAGCCCTCTGTTCTATGCCATGGACAAAAGAATAAGCCACAAGTAGCATCCATCTTTCTTTTTTGAAAAGAACTCTTAGTCGTTAGAATGAATGATTTCATCTTGAAATATTGTGTATGCACAGTTCAGTTACAGCAACAATAATAACTGGTATTTTCGAAGCGCTTTGAAATCTGCCAACTCCTTGACCAGCCTTTTCTCATTTGAGCCTCACAACAAGTCCCTGAGGTAGAGACCACAGGCATTATGCTCCCCAGTTTACAGGTAACATTGAGGCTCAGCCAGGGCAGGAGACTTGTAGATCACACAGCTCATAAATAGTGGAGGAAGGAGTTGATTCCTTCCTGACTCCAGGTTCAGTCTCCTATCCATAAGGCCAAAAAGGAAAAGAGACAGTGGTTGTGGATTTCCCTTTAGAGTGACATATTCAGAGTCACTTTTTGACTGATTTGTGGAAATTAAAATGAATGGAACCTCTTTTTATGGTGGAAATCCAACAATCTTTTGCATGGTGATAACATTCTATTGGGTGGAAGTATTTCTAGAAGGGGGTCAGCAGTGCCTTAAATAGACAATTGGCAAAGTGAGTTTTTCAATCTTTATGAAGCCCATAGAAATCCAAAGAACACAGCATACTTTGAATGTAAACAAATGTTCCTTAGTTTTTTCATGTTAATTATGGCCAAAAAGGACACAAAGATGATCTTGACCAGCCCATTCATTTCACAGATGAGTAAGTGGAGGCCCAGAGAAGTCCAATGACTCACTGAAGGTCATACAGCAAGCAGAGCTCTTTCAATTTAATCTGATTCAACAAGCATTCATTAGGCAGCTACTCCATGCTATGAATACAAAGGTTCTTTTTAAATAGACCCAGATCTCAAGGAGCATATATTCTGGGGGAGGCACATGTAAGTAAATACAAATAATTCTAGCGTGAAAAGAGAGCTAATGATTATCAGAGGTTCTTAACTGAGGGTTTTTTAAAAAATAGTTTTATAATTGTATTCAATTATAATTGATTTCCTTTATAATCCAAAGTATTTTGTTTTTATTTTAAATTATGATTCTGCCAAGGGGTCCAGGACACAGCAAAGTGAAGAATTCCTGAACCAGAAGAATTAGAAATGTCTTTGTCCACAGGATGGAGCCCCTCAGTTGAACCTTGAGAGAGGTTCAACTTCAAAGAACTGGTGGCAGGCAGGCAGCCCATGAGAGGCACCCTGGGCAAAAGTGGGGGTGTAGGGACCATGGGAACAACAGATGTGCCCCCTGGACTGACTGCGGGAAAATGAGTAACAAGGAGTCTAGGGTCATGTCTTTAAGTGCCAAGCTGTGGCATCTGCATTTTGTCCCAGAAGTCATAGGGAACCCCTGAGGAGTCTTAGGAGGAACATGATTTCAGAGGTGATGAAAGTCTGGGTTACACTGGTAGTCTTGTAAGTGGAGAGAAGAGTGCAGATGTGAGAGATGGGTGGAAGTAAGATTAACAAGACTCATCAACTATGGGATATGGGAAGGGATGGGGAGGGAAAGCGCAGAGTGAGGATCGCTCCAAGGCTCCAAACCTGGGTGACTGGAATGATGGGAATGCTCTCAACAGAGCCAGCAAAGTCTGGAAGAGCAGAGGTTTTAGAGACTAGGACAGATGAGGTCTGTTTTGGACAGGTTGAGTCTGAACGTTCAATGGGACATCCTGGGAGATAGAAAGTGTAGTTGGTGACGTAGGGCTGCAGCTCTTGAGAGAGCCTGGGCCTGGATATGTAAAGATTAGACAGTCATCATCAGAGAGAAGATAATGGAAGCCATCCGAGCTGATGAAATCCACTAGAAGGAGAATGCAGAGGCTCAGGACAAACCATCTGCAGATGCCTGTGGTTAGAAGGTAAAGCATGGATAATCCAGTGAAGGAGACACTGATAAGATTTCAGGTCCACGAGAGGAGAACCAGTGGAAGGAAGCATCATGAAAGCCAAGCGAAAAGAGGAGGGGCGGGGGGGGGGGGTGCTGTGGTGGGGGAGGGGGGAAACAGCAGTTGGTTGGCAGTGTCCAAATGAAGAGAGACGAGGCCTGTGAAAAAACATCATATTGATCAATTAAGATGCCACTGGCAACCTCAGAAAAAAGTGTCCATTGAAACATGAGAACAAAGCCAGACTGAACGAGGTAGAGAAGTCCATGGAAGAAGAGCATAGCACGGCATCTACAGAACTGGACTGGAGTCAGGAAGACAGAAGACCTGGGTTCAAGTCCTGCCTTCAGCACACCCTGGCTGTGACCTCGGTTGTCCTGCTGAGTCATTTCAGTCACCTCCAATTCTCCATGACCCCAGTTGGGGTTTTCTTAGCAAAGACCCTGGAGGAGTTTGTCATTTGCATCTCCAGCTCATTTTACAGACTACGAAATTGAGGCAAATAGGGTGGGATTACTTGGCCAGGGTTGAACAGCAAGGAAGTGTCTTGGGTCAGATTTGAACCCAGGAAGATGAATCTTCCTGACTCCAAGCCCAGCACTCTGTGCACTGAGGCTGCCCCAAGGTGACGCTGGCTGAATCACCTAATTCCTCAATGCCCAGGCAAGTCTCCTGCCTGCCTATAAGCTGAAAAAGGCAGGTATTGATTTGCATTAGTGAAGTAACTACACAATGAGATCTCAAATGTTTAAAAAAAAAAAAGAACAGGAGACAATAAGTAGAACCTGCTGAGATAGAGGAGCACAGCTGGAGGGCAGGAGAAGGCCAGGAGAAGGTTGGTTTTGATTTTGGATTAAAAGGGTGAGGTACTGGGACGATGGAAGGAGACAGGATGAGGGGGCATTTGAGGTATACAAAAGGGTGCAGGAGAGGGAGGAAGAGGGCGCTCACTTCACCCCTCTGCCAGAGCAGGAAGACAATAAAAGTGTATTGACTGAGTGAAAGACGACATTCAAACAATTTTACAAAAAATAAGCTCTATACAGATAAATAGCTCAGCCTCAAGTTTCCTTCTCTATAAAATGGGGATAATAATAGCACCCACCTCACAGTGTTGTTGGGAAAATCAGAAATAGGGACCGTGTTTTGCAAAGCTTAAGGCAATATCTGAACACGAGCTATTACTTCACCTATCTGCGTAGGAAGGAGCCAGCTCAAAACTAACCCAGACTGTGTAGATGCATAGGTTCCCAAAGTGGGCAATACTGCCCCGTGGGAGGTGTTGGAATGATCCAGGGGGGTGTTAGTAGCCTCAGGTGCAAACAGGGGGCATTGAATAAAAATAAGAGGGCAGTGGAAGCATAAGGAAAGAAGAGAAAATAAGAACATTTTGAAAAACCATTCGTACATGTTTCATCTATTGTGTAATAGAGTTAAAGTCATAGTGATTACATTATTTTCCAAGTAAACACACAAAATGCAAGTTATAACCAGTCAATGGTCAAGTCTGCCAACAGGTCTTAACAAGCAAATGTGGGCAGGCCAGCATGTCTCACATTGTCAGGAGGTGTAGCACGCATTTGCAGGAAGATGTGCATGTAATGACTTGTTTGCAATACAATATTTATATAGTTACATGGAATTGGGTCATCAAAATTTCAATGCAGAAAGAAAAAATACATTTACAGTAAATTATTAAATTTAAGATCCATCATTTTAAAAAAATATTTTATACATTTTTTGAAATGACACAAATTAAAAAAAAAAGTTAAAAGGGTAAAGAAAGTAGATTTCCAGGGGGAGCACTGAGAAATTTTTTTAAAGGGGACAGTAGGTCAAATAAATTTGGGAACTTATGTGTGTACATACACACTTATTGTGTAGAGTCCAGTGCAGAAAAGACCTGGAGCCTGTCTGTCAGAGGCCCTCCCCACTGGCTGTTTGTCCTAGCCATTCCTTCCCATATTTTGGCAGGAGTAGATTGGGAATGTTGTAGTGAGACTCACAGAGTCTGAGTAATAACCCCCATTTTAAAGAAGGGAAAGCTGAGACCCAGAGCAGTATCATGTTCACATGAACCACATTTGTACAGTGCTCTGGGATCCTCTATGAAGTGCCAGATGAACTATCCAGTGTGCCATATAAATGCTCACCCCCATCACTGCCACTGCTACATTTATAATTAGGTAGCCTGGCTCATCCGAAGAAGACTCCCCTCATTGAT